TTCTATACCACACACCACACTGAAAGTAACTATCCACTTTTTCCACACCTAAGTTCTTCAAAACACAAAGTCATGTAACAGTTCACTATGGATCATGTTCTGCCAATGACACACTTCTTGAGCGCTATAATTTCCATCATCTTACAGCATCCTAACAGTTGTACCAAATTTTATTCTATGTACAAGACAGGAAAACCAAGGATCCAGCAAACAGTTTAACTTGCCCAAGTTGGTGTATTCTCAAAACCACTTCTGACTGTCAGGCCAACTCTCCCAACCAAATGATAGGACATGAGTACAAATAATTCTTAATCCTTAAGGAATTAAGGGCAGGCAAGCCTTCACCTTCTGCAATTTCATCGGTTTAACACTGCCAGGTACCCAAACATTTGACTTTATAGGAAATCTTTTGATCAGCTTTTATCCTAGATACTCAGATCTATTTTCACAGTTCTTGTTGGCATTATTAGTGTAGGAAGTGCACACCAATAACAATGATCTGCATAGTCCAAACCATCTAGAACACTCGGAAGTGTTAAAAAAAAAAAAAAAAAAAAAAGCTCAGGAAGTTACTGCCTAGGGTGAAGCTGCAATAATGGTTCAAAGTGACAACACCCCGCCCCCTTTCCACACTCTCTTTCCCTCACAACAGGAGAAAGGATTTGAGAAAACAAATCATCAGCATCTGATGGCTTCACCCTACTCCCATTCATCCATCTGCTCAACAGACTTCACTGCAGGTGCCTTCCTTGGAAGTAACTGAAAGGGAATATCACCTTGCAGTGGCAATCAACCTCAATACTAAAACTTGACCTTCCTCGTCCCTTTTACAGATAATTACATTTGGAGTATATGTACATTGCAAGGATAGGTTGTATTGTCCCCCTGGCTTGGAAAAATCTAAACTTTCCAACCAAAGAACGTCAAGTTGGCCTGGAACAGAAAAACTACGGAGTAGAACTGTGGAACAAATCCATCTTTAACTGCATGCCAGAAGGAGAGATGACTATAGCACAGATGCTAGAAAAATTGACATCTAAAAGCAAACACCAAATGTTCCCCTTTTTGGTGACTACTGAAAATTGTCTACCAATCTGGAATAGTTTGAAACTTGCACTTACCAGAATTGGTAGTTTGCTTGTTTTGCATTGTTAAGATACAGCGCTTTTTTTCCTCCCGTTGCAATTCTAGGCCTAAATACAATAGGCGACATGTGGAGCAGGTTCAAATCCCAGAGTGGCTATTTAATAACTGTATGGGTTCAGGCACTTTAGGTAATCATTTACACACCCCTAATGTTGCTGATGGCTATAGTTACTGCAAGGACTAAGGGACAATTTGTAAGCACAGCGCCTACTCCGAGCAGGTACTCCAAAATATCTACTCCTTAAAAATGACTATTTTCAACCTCTGGCTGAGAGGAAAAGGAAATAGGGTCAAACTAATCAGATGCTGAAAGCAAGTCATGATATCAAATCTAGGATAATATTGCCTCAAACCATTATTTCCTAATCTGTCTTGTCTATTCTATTTGCAGTGCTGCCTCATACCTGATACCGCAGAGATACAGTGGCAAAGACAAAAAGACTTAAGTGTATTCTTATTCCTAAAGATCAAAGAATTCTTGGAACAGCTCCTCAACAAATGCATCTGAAAACTTAAATTTTAAGCTGGCCAGAAATTAGTGACTATTACGGAATGTCTGAGGCACAAAAGAAGATATTCTTTGACAATGAACCTCAGCTGTTCACAAAACCCATACAATGACTCTGAAAAACCACAGAATAAAGACAACTGGAGTATTTGTATATATTAACTTCAAAGTTAAACAATGTTGAAGAAATACTATGGAGACCCATATATTTAATCACAAATTGTAGAACTCCCCACAAAATACAGGCTTATGGTATACCTATGTCAGATATATCCTAGAACAACCAAGATTAAAATGGATGGCTTTTTAGTTTGAGGAAAAAGAAAAAAAAATTTAAATCCCACAAGCATACACATACACAAAGGTAGATACGAGGGAAAATGTTTAAATGCATTCAGTGAGCCAGGCATCTTTGCCCTTAAAGTCCTAAAAGTCTCTGTATTATGATGCTCAAGGCAGGTGCAAGGTGAGAGACTACTCGGCAGAAGGAAACTATTAAGATTTGCATGCAATCGAATGTCATAACACATGTCCAGTAGCTCATTTTCTTCTAGTAAAAACAAAAGCTATTCCTCTTATAAGTTATCCCTCCAAGGATATTAACTAGAGGGTCTCCCATTCTGTCCTCTTCACACAAACCCTCTAGCTTTACAGATGTGTACCATTTAACCTATAAAGGCTGGGAAGGGGGGAGGGGAGGCAAGCAGTCACTGAGTTTTGATCCCTCCCAAGGCCTTCCAAAACAAGATGGACTTCCATCGCTTTGTTGACTCCTCCCCAAGGCTTTAAATATTAGAGCTGCAGTCTGTGAGGAATTGTTTTCCTAGCCTGAAACAGCTCGTTAATTATTGATGTAAGCCATACTTACAAAGAGGTGCTTGTACACTCTTCTGCACGGCACTGCCATCTAGTTCTCCCTCCAAAACACACACGTGGTCTTTACTACGTAGCAACATAAAATCAGTGGCAATAATGACAACACAATTCCCACTATTTAAGGGTAGTGGATTCTGCCATGTATACTTGGAAATCTGCCCCTGAAAACTGTCCTTCCAGGATTGCGTGGTTTGGACTGATTTCTTAGACAATTCATGAAGAAAAGCAAAGTTGAGAGCATCACATATACACTTTCAACAAAAAAAACTGATCACAAAATAAATCCCACTTGAATACCTCTATCAGCCAGTGGGGATATTCAGGAAGGTGTCCTTTCAATTCCTCCCTTAGATTGCCCAAGAGCCAGTGGGGCTCACTTGAAAAGTAAACACTACTTCACTGGTTGCAAAGGCATCTTACCCAGACAGTCCCAGAGCCGAGACTATTTCAAAAGCTTTCTATTCTGGAAAAGTCGGCCTGACTTTATTGTTTTGTTGTTTTTGCTTTCTGGTAGAGAGGCTTAGAATGCTGCAAACAACTTTTCACAAAGGACTGCATCCAGGAACTGTGTATGACACACAGGAGAGTAAGAGCAGCTACAACCAGCAACACCCCCAAGGAGCCTGTGGTGTTCACCCATAGTGGTCAACATCCTAAATTAGCCAACTGCTGGACTTCACAGCAACACTACCCCAACCAACCATGTTAATGACGAGACACGATTTTTCTAAAGATTAATTCACCCCATGTGTTATTAATCAGCAGGGTAACTGAAAGCTCATGTTTAGAAAGAAAAAGAAAACAAAAGAAAACGCTAGCCCAGTTGAGCAGAACTTAATTGCATTATTGTTTTTATTATGGCTGCTACGCTGGTTTCCCTGGGTCCTTGGCTCCTCCACCACAAATATCCAGACACAGAAGCACACATAGATGGGAAAACAGAAAACCAAGGGTCAGGAAGAAGAGCATTTTGAAGAGAAACGTTTGTCTCTGCAAAGACGGGTCAAGTATGCATCCAGGCTGCCTTGAGAAGTAATTAAGCCTTCACTCGTTTCATTTCAGACCGTCCCAACTTGCACCAGGGTGAGCAGCTGCGGGAGATCACGGAGGCTGCGGTGCCAGACAGACAACCCCATCCATCTCTCCGCCGGCCGCGCCGTTTCCAGGTGGCCTGTTCTACCAGCACAAAGCTAACCTCCCTTTCAGAGTATTATGCTCCGGGACTAGAGCAGCCCGTCCAAAGCCACGTCAACGGTCCCGCGTAGAGACCTCAGAGAACCGGCTTTTCACCTAAAGTCTTTAGGTTAGAAGCCAAAGAGTCCCGCAGGCAATTACGGTCGCTGACGGCCTCCACCCCAAGTCCCTGCGGCTAGTAGGGTAGGAGCAGAACCGGCGGGGAAAAGGGAAAAAGAGACGCGGTAGTGTGAGCAAGAGGGATGGGGCTCCTATCCCTTTAGAGACTAGGCCAGTGACACTGTGAGACTAAGGATGAAAAGCAGCGGCACAGCCCGGGTCTGGGGAAAGAGGGAAGCCGCCAAGCTCTCTCGTAGCTCGAGGCACCACGGGCTCTGGCCGGGAGGGGCCCAGAAACTCAGAAACCCAGTGGGAACGGCCGGACGGGGAAGGGGGGGTTCTTCCGAGAGTAGGATGTGAGGAGGAACGCGGGAGGCAGTGGGAGACTTCTCTGGTTGTGCTGGGGGAGAGGCAGAGAGGGGTCGCCCGTGCAGTCAGGACAGCTCGCAACACGTCCCCGCAAAACTGCACATTTTTGTGGTTTCAAATTGAAGACCAAGGAGAAGATGCCAAGGTTCAACCCCCTGCCTGGGGCGCTTTCCCCCCGCCCCCCAGCCTAGGTTTCGGAGTCCCCCTCCTCGCTTAGGGACCTGGGCTGTGCCCAGCTGTCGGCCTCCTCTATTCCTTTCGGGGACGCCCCCCACGCCCAAGCGCGACGTCCGCCCTCCCAGTTCGTGTCGGCTCCCCGCCCCGCGCGGCGACCGCGGCCGGCCGGCCACCTGCGCCCATCTGCCCCGGACCCGGCAGGCCCCGGCTGGGGCGCCCGAGGGAAGTTCCGCGGGCTCTCCCAATCCGGGGAAGGATTTTTTTTCTTTTCTTTTCTTTTCTAAACAAACAAATAAATAAACCTTAGCGGCTTGCACCCGCCTTCCCTTCACGCCCACGCAGCACCTCCCCTGCACACGCGCCGCGAGGTGCCTCTCCCGCCAGACAATGGGTTCGGAGCCGGCCGGGCTGGTTCGCTCGGAGCCCCCGGCCCCATTCCCCGGGACCCTGAAGAGGAGTGTGTGTGAGCGTGAGGGATTCCGGGTGCGGGGGAAGCGAGGTGAGGGAGGCCACAAAGGGGAGGGTGGGCGCCTCCCCACCCCGTGAGGCCAGGAGGTCACACGGGGCACGGGGAGCCGGGGAGGGGTGGAGGTCAGGCGCGCTGCCCCACGCCCGGTCGCCGCACACTCACCAGCACGATGGCAAACCGCTCCTCCAGTTCCCCCGGCTCGGGCATCGGCAGCTTCAAAGGCACGTTGTGCGCCCTGAAATCGGTCTGCTGTGAATCCATGCTCCCGGCGTTGCCCATGTCGGCCGGGGCCGGGGTCGCCACCGGCCCCTCGCGTGCGCGTCGGCGATCAGAACAGCTCCCGGCGGTCGGCTCCCCCACGCCCTCCGCTTCGCCCCGGAGAGTGTGCAGCGCACGCCGCTCCCTAGCAGCGCCCGGAGCTCAGCCGCCCGCCGGCCTCCCTCATGCTCTCCGCCGCCCCGGAGCAGCCCCGGCCTCTTTTCCTCGGAAAGGGTCGTCAGGGCGCCGGGCGCCCCCGTGCATGGTGCTCCGCCGGCACACCGGCCCCTGCCAGCTCTCGCGGCCAGCGGGCGCGCGCGCTGTGGTTCCTCGGCCTCCCACCGGAGCGGCCGGCCACTGCTGCCGCTGACACTCGCAGCCCACCCCCCGGCCGGCGCCCAGCGACCCGCAGCGCCCGCTCGCCCGGCACCTGGAGCAGGACAAACGCCGCTCGGCGCTCGCCTACACAATACCCCCTCGCGGCCCCCGCCCCCGGCCCGCTCCGCCCACCGCCCCGCGGCCTGCCGGGACGCGTAGTTCCCGCCGCCGGTGTCCGCGCGCGCAAAGCCACGCCCTCCCGGCGCGGCCGGCCGGGCAGCACCGCGTGCGCGCGGGCCAGGTGCGCCTCAGCGGCCCCGCTCCCGACGCCTGCGGCCCTTTCCACCCGGCTCTGTACCGCAACTGACGCGTGGGCACGCATTACAGATGAAGGAATGAATGAAACGGATCAGTGAGTCCATGCATGGATGCTGACCCCTACAGTCCCACCCAGGTCCTCTCCACAAGCCGGGAGCCGGGGTGGATCCAGGGGCGCTTGCCTTATTGTTCTTTCTTCCATATTCATGGTATGTGTTCTTTGATGTACCTGAAATGTTGGGTAAAATATGATACACTGGTATATGCTCACACTCTTCAGAGCTGGGTGAGGATTTAGTTCATTCCTGAACAAAGCACCTGTCCAAGTGCCTGTCTCTTACTGTTCCTTGAGGGAAGTTGGAGGAGAGGAGAGGGGGGCTGCCTCTGGCCCGGATTACTTTCTAGGCAAAAGCAGAAAATGTATGCTTATGTTTCATGTGAACATGTTTCGTGCTGTTATGTTGACAGCATATTAGAGGGGGGATCTTTGGGGATGAACTTAGGCGGAAGTTTGCTTGTGTCCCAGAGAACACAGCTTGGCCCCGTGGTCTTGGTTGTGTTTGAAATAGTAACTATCATTCAAAACGATGGAAACAGAAACAGTCTCCCAAGTGACTTTAGCGAACTGCTCGTGTTGTCCGGTTCAAAGGCATCCTGTGGTTGACTTGTGGCTGTGCTCGTGTATCCGTGTATCGTGTTTCTGAATCCTGACTGTGTACCCAATTCATTTGGGGACTTTTTTTTGGTGAAAACGACACACACCTGGGGTTTTGCCTGTTACCAGAATCTTTGAAGAGCTGAAACCCAGGCAGGTGTATTTTTAACAAGCTCCCCAGGTGATCCAGATAGACAGCTAAGGGTATCCTCCTCTTGTTACAAAGCAGGGTAAATCATTCAATTATCAAGGACCACACTGCATCTGGCTTTATACATCCGAAAACATTGGGAGCCTCATAGATGCTGAGGGACTATTTGTTGAATAGTGACTTGTATCCAGACTGTATGGAGCAAAAACATTGTGTGTGTGTGTGTGTGTGTGTGTAGTATTACAAGAAATGTCTTCTTTTAAAGAAATGAGAGAATATAAATGAACTAAACTTGAAACTTCTGAGTAAATCAGTAATTATACCATGGAAGTTAGTGGCTTTGTGTTGCTGCCCAAAGAGAGAAAAACAAAGCCAATGAACGTGAGAAAGAATGCCTCTAGGGCAGCCCAGGTAAAACATTTCTGACCCCAAAAAATAGATTTTGTTTATTTGTTCTCCCTTAAACAGATACTTGGGTCTCACTGACTCTCAAATTCAGCCCACCCAGAGCAACGCTGGGCTGGATTAGAAAGGCTGGAATTCTTTCGTGCAGCTGAGAAAGCCTTTTTAAATTGTATTTATGGCTCCCTCCGGCCGTGCTTCTGCCAGTAATTAAGACCTTTTCCTCTCCTTAAGTCTTATCACATCTAGCCTCTCTCAGAATCTCCCATTTGACAAAGGCCAAGGACAAAGTGTGCAAAGCTAGGAACCAAAAGAACTTTTCTGCTATCTGTAGATCTGTGCTCTCTAATAGTTGGATATTATTTATGGTCGTTCATGAGAACAGAAATAATCAAACCTTCCATAGAATTCTAGAACTTTCCATACAAATTTCCAGCAAGTGTCAGGAAACTTTGTTTTGTGTTTTGTCATTTTTCCTCCAGCCAAGCAAAATTAAACTCAGGCAGTCGTTTTAAAATCTATATTTAAATTTTCTGATCCCTAATGCATATGACTTGCTTTGACTTATATTGTAAGTTGTTAGAAAAAAAAAACTGAAAGCATCTATTCATCTTCTCTGAAAGCTGAAATGTTAGAATGTTTATCCTTCAATTTGCCAAGCATTTGCTAGCTGTGTCAAGATGACTTGGTCAGGAATTCCGCCATAATGGTGGTAATAGCTCTCAAGTAAGCTTTTCTATCATCCGTAACAAATGCATCTACAAGATGAGCCTTTGAAAGCCTGGAGCTGAGTTCTCCTGGAGTCTCCTAGGATTTATGTGGAAGGAACCATTCTGCTGCTAAGCACTTAGTATCCTTCAGGGCTACAATATAACCCTAAGATTGTGATTGTCTAGAATTCAGGAAAGCAATGCAATGGCCATTGCTAGCCCTGAATCTAAATTGCAAAGTGGTCAGTAGATGGAATTTTTAAGGGATTGCTACTTGTCAAATTGTATCTGCAGCAGTCCAGCAAGATTCACATATCTGTTTACGTTTATGTGAAATGTATTTTTGACAACTTATAAGTTACTTTCCTGGGTCTTAAATAGTTTTCATTAATTACTGCTTTGTGCAGTCTTCTTCAATCTATTAAATTGCAGATAAAGATACACATTGTTCTCCAGGTCTTGTCCTTCAGCATCAGTTATGAATGTTTTTAATTTATTTAATTATTTTATGACACAGTTCCATAGGCTCCGAGGTTTTTCTTCCCCCCCTTCCAATTCTCCACCCTCCCTACAGATTACCCCTATATCATTACAAGAGTATAGTCCTTTGCAAACAGTCAAAAGTCCACCATTCTGCTATTTTAGTATATCCTGTCATTGTAGTTACAGACAACAACAGAAAGTCCAGCATTTGATTGTCAAAATATATTTAACAGTTTCATTGGGAATCCATCTTTGATTTGGAAGTAGAGATGCGCACTGCATTGTATCTTCACTGAATATTATAGTCTCTATTACACAATTACTATATATTCCCTTAAATGAAAAGCCATAAAACAAAATCAACAACAGAAAGAAAAATAGAAAATTTACAACATGAAGTTAAATAACATGCTACTGAATAACCAATATGTTGCTGAAGAAATGGGAAAGAAATTGAAAAACTTTTAATTTTTTAATTAATTAATTTATTATTCCATGGTACAATTCCATAGGCTCTGGAATAGCCCTTCTTCACTCCCCAAAAATCCTGTCCCCCCACTGATTTCTCCCATGCAATTATAATAGTATAGTCCTTCGGGCCACACTTAAATAACAGACTGATAGAATTATAACTCCGTATGAAGGACTATACTATTATAACAATGTGGGGAAAATTTGTTGGGGGTGGAATTTTGGGGGGGGTGTAGAAATCCCAGACTCTACAGAATTATATGATAAAATTCAAATTTAAAAGTAAAATTTTAAAAAATAAAAGCAATGTTACAGTCTTTAACACTCAGTCATAAATCCATCATTCTGTTATTTAAGTGTATCTTGACATTGCAGGCATGGACAATGGCAGAGAGTCCAGCATCCTATTGTCAAGATACATTCAATATTTCACTGGGAGTCCATCTTTGATTTGGAAGTAGAAATGCATACTGCCTTGTATCTTCACATCTCTATGTGATAGTCTGTACTACACAATTATTATGCATTCTCATGAATGAAAATCCATAAAACAAAATTTCAACAGAGAAAAAGAAAATTTACAACAACACGAAGTTACATAACATGCTACTGATTGACCAATGTGTCGCTGAAGAAGTGCAAGGGGAATTCAAAAACCTTCCTAAGGCAAATGATGCTATCATATAACTTACAAACCAGTGAGGAAATTAATAAGAAAAACAAAAACTTTGTTTTGAATGAATAAAAATAAAAAATATCAAGTCCCTGAGATGTAACAAAAACAATATCAAAAGGGCTATTGATCTTGCATTTTGCATGAAGGTTGCTTTATATCACAGAGAACATATGATATTTGTCCTTTTGGGATTGACTTATTTCACTGAGCATAATGATTTCTAGTTGGGACTGTTTGGTTGCAAATGGTAGAATTTCATTCTTTTTAGTGGCTGAGTAATATTCCATGGAGTAGATGTACCACAGTTTCTTTAACCACTCCTCTTTTGACAGAATCTGGGTTATTTCCATGTCTTTGCTGTTGTAGATTGTGCTGCTATAAATATAGGATTACAGATCCATTTCTCATATGCAGATTTCATTTTCTTTAAATATATTCCTAGTAGCAGCATTTCTGGGTCATATGGCAGGTCAATTTTCAGTTCTCTTAGCATACTCCATTCCTAATTCTATGGTAGTTGTACTAGCCTACATTCCCACCAACAGTAAAGGTAGGTACCTTTTTCCTCACATTCACCCCAGCAGCTGTTGGTAGAGTTCTGAATGCCAGCCAACCTAATTGGAGTTAGGAGGAACCTCAATGATAGGTAGGGAGCCTTTTTTCATGTGTCTATTAACCATTTGAATTTGTTCTTTCGAAAAATGTCTGTTCATTTCCTTCATCCATTTCTTCACAGGGTTTTTTGTTTTGCTTTTGTTCAGTTTCTGATACCCTTTATAAATCCTGGATATTAGTCCCATATCAGTTGTGTAGTATAGTTTATTTTGGCTTTGACTGGCTGTGCTTTTGGTGTCTTTTCACATTCCAATATCTTGGAGAGTGTCTCTTCCCATTCCTGTATCTTAGAGACTGCTTCCTACTTTCCCTCTAAGAGCTTGATGGTTTCTGGATGAAGACTTAAGTCCTTGATCCATTTAGAGCTGACAGATAGAGGTCTTGCTT